TTTTAGCTATTCTGACTGGTGTGAGGTGGTAACTCATTTTGGTTTTGATTTGTATTTCCCTCATGATGAGTGATGTTGAGCATTTTTTCATGTGTCTGTTAGCCATCTGGATGTCTTCTTTGGAAGTGTCTATTCATGCCTTCTGTACATTTATTAACTGGATTATTTGTTTTTTGGGTGTCGAGTTTGATAAGTTGTTTACAGATTTTGCATACTTACCTTTTATCTGATATGTCATTTGCAAATTATCTTCTTCTATTCCGTTGCAGTTGCCTTTTAGTTTTGCTGACTGTTTCCTTCATTGTGAAAAAGATTTTTATCTTGATGAGGTCCCAGTAGTTCATTTTTGCTTTTGTTTCCCTTGCCTCCAGAAACGTGTCAAGTAAGAATTGCTATGACTGAGGTCAAATAGATTTTTGCCTGCTTTCTCCTCTAGGATTTTGATGGCTTCCTGTCTTACGTTTAGGCGTTTTATTCATTTTCAGTTTATTTTTGTGTTTGGTATAAGAAAGTAGTTCAGGTTCATTCTTTTGCATGTCACTGTCCACTTTTCCCAGCACCACTTGCTGAAGAGACTGTCTTTATTCCATTGAATATTGTTTCCTGCTTTGTCAAAGATTAGTTGGCCATACGTTTGTGGGTCCATTTCTGGGTTCTCTATTATGTTCCATTGATCTGAGTGTCTGTTGTGCCACTACCATACTGTCCTGGTGATTACACCTTTGTAATACAGCTTGAAGTCTGGAATTGTGATTCCAACTGCTTTGGTTTTCTTTTTCAGGATTGCTTTGGCTATGTGGGGTCTTTTCCGGTTCCATAAAATTTTTGGATTATTTATTCTAGCTCTGTGAAGAATGTTGGGGTTATTTTGATAGGGATTGCATTAAATATGTAGATTGCTTTGGGTAGTATCGACATTTTAACAATATTTGTTCTTCCTATCCAGGAGCATTGAATAATTTTCCATTTTTTTTGTGTCTTCTTCATTTTCTTTCATAAGCTTTCTATATTTTTCATGGTATAGATTTTTCACCTCTTTGCTTAGATTTATTCCTCGGTATTTTATGGTTTTTGGTGCAATTGTCAATGGGATAGATTCCTTGATTTCTCTTTCTATTGCTTCGTTATTGGTGTATAGAAATGCAACTGGTTTCTGTGCATTGATTTTATATTCTGTGACTTCGCTGAATTCATGAATCATTTCTAGCATTTTTTTGGTGGAATCTTGTGGGTTTTCCATATGGAGTATAATGTTATCTGTGAAGAGTGAAAGTTTGACTTCCTCCTTGCCAATTTGGATGCCTTTTATTTCTTTGTGTTCTCTGATTACTGAGGTTAGGACTTCCAATACTATGTTGAATAACACTGGCAAGAGTGGACATCCCTGTCATATTCCTGACCTTGGGGAAAAAGCTCTGCTTTTCCCCATTGAGGATGATAGTAGCAATGGGTCTCTCGTATGTGGCTTTTGTGATCTTGAGTTATGGTCCTTCTATCCCTACTTTCTTGAGGGTTTTTATCAAGAAAGGATGCTGTATTTTGTCAAATGCTTTCTCTGCATCTATTGAAAGGATCATGTGGTTCTTGTCCTTTCTTTTATTACTGTGGTGTATCACATTGATTGATTTGCAGATACTGAACCAGCCTTTCATCCCATTATAAATCCCACTTGATCATGGCAAATAATTC